TCAGGTCAGGCAAGTCACAAGGCTGTTTAGGGGTTTTGGATACAGTTAATTGTGAAGCAAAATTAACCGATTCCCACTGATACCATATCTATATTTTCAACTTATTTGAACCCAATCATTTGTGTTGAAAATAATAATAACAAAAGTAGTGAAATGATGTGAATGCCAAGGCATGGGCCAGCCACTACACTAACTAACTATATTACTTCACTAATCTTCTTGATATTGTAAGATATGAATCAAATTCCCATTTTATAGATAGAAAAGCTGAAGAACAGGAAGACTGTATGAATAGCTTGTTCAAAGTTCCCAGTTAATAAGTAGCAGACCAAGGATTCAAACCCATGCATTCTAGAGCACTTGTTTTTCATTCATACATTTCTGGTGTGTTGAGCCTTGACAGCAGAGCATCCTTGTAAGAATGTCAGAGCTAAGCCAAAAATGAGTTCTCATGACACCCTTGAGCCCTTCCATGGCTATGGTGAGCAGCTTGATTCAGCTAAGGTCAAGCATAGGGTTTATAGACAGAGATCTCCAGACAGAGAAGACAAAAAGACAAAAGTCATCTCCTTCCAGCTGTGGTTTTTTTTAGCTAGTAAGGGAGAGGGGAAGAAAGGAAAGGTCACGTTAAGCACATTTCTAAAGGAGTCTTGTCATTCATTCTCTATGCTCTTCCTCTCTGGTTTTATGTGGCCGAGGTCCCAAAATCATTGTACCTTTCTTAGAACTGCCTTTTCTCTTTCTCTCAATGGAATCCCTTCTCCAGAACTTAATTCTGGATGTCCATACCTTCATGAGAACTCCGTTGTTCAGAGGAGGTCATGAGGATACAGTAGCCTTACACGAATGGACAGAAAGACTCTCATACTTAGAGCTCCCCAATTCTCTCAAAACATGGCCAGATCATCATTGCCAAAGAAAGAAGCTTTCAAGCAAAGGATCTTCAAGAGACAGGCACAGCCACTCCTGTCCCAGGAGCTGGTCATGGTGATCCAGAAGCTTTCTGAGGGACTGCATAGTGGCTACCCAGTCTTTGATTTCCTCCCCATTCTAGCAGGGTCAGAAGTACTGCACTATCCTGGATTTGACTCATGATTTTGGTGCTTACAGAGTACAATTACCCCCACACAACTTGAGATGAATAGAGGTCACATTCCCTGGGATGTTTCTTAAGACCAAAGAATGTGTTTGCAGATAGCTTTCTTAATGTTCGTGTTAAATTCATGTTCCCACTTGTAGGTGGCAGTTTTCTGGATAACTTTGAGGACCTGATCATGTACCTTCTTTCTAGCAAGACACTCCAAATGATTCTTTTTTTTTTTTGGAAGGGAGGGGTGCCAGTTCTGGGGATTGAACTCAGGGCATGGATGCTGTCCCTGAACTTTTTTGCTCAAGGATAGCACTATACCACTTGAGCCATAGCTCTACTTGTAGCTTCTTTGGTAGTTAATTTGAGATAAGAGTCTCACCCAGACTTCCATCCTCAGATCTCAGCCTACTGAGTAGCTAGGATTACAGGCATAAGCCACTGGTGCCTGGCTCCAAATTATTCTAGAGGTCTCAGATGTCTGCTCAATCAAGCCTTTTGGTAGGTAGTACCTAACAAAGTTAGCAAAGCTTACTACTTTCCTCTTTAAAACTTATATATAGAATTAAACAAAAAATTATTCCAGAAGAAATACAGAAAGAATAGTCTTTATTTTATGCAATATCCTATATACCATTATAAAATACCTCCACTGAACAATAGTGACAGTGTGCAGTTGACTTGTAAGAAATATTTAAAATGATGACATCTAGATAAAAAAAATATGGCAGTCTGGACTTAGAATACTGACATAAAAGGTACCTTACCATTGAGATATTCTTTTACCCTCACTGCACTCTTAATCTCTTTCCTCATTCCTTTTTAAAATCATTGTTAAGGCCATACTGTGCACAGTGTCAGTGTCCCTAACCTATTCTGAAAAACTTCAAAGGCACTTCAAGGCACGTCAAAGTCACACTGTGACAAGCTAATTTTCAAATTCAACAGATCTAAAGGTGACTAACACTAGTTTATTTTATTTTCCTTGATTTTAATTACAGGCAGTTGGAGCCAGTGACTATTTGGAACTCTCAAAGAATTTTGATACACTATTTTTACGAAACATTCCACAATTTACGCTGGCAAAGATGACTCAAGCTCGAAGATTCATAACTCTCATTGACAACTTGTATGATTTCAAGGTAAGGATTTAAGACATTTTCTCGAAACTGCATTTTGATTGTGGAGGCTGATGTCCTCCTACGGAATCCTAGCTCTACATACAGCTTGCTTTACCTCTCTGTGTTGGGTTTTCTAATCTGCAGATTGAGGATAATAACTACTTTAGAGGACTAAGAAGCTGGTCCAGGTAAAATATATAAGAGATCATTACCCAGACAAATACTCTGTACTTACTGTTACTTATAACAGCATTTAGAAGTATAGTCAAACAAATCACTCTGCTAATGACTCCATTATAGCACCAGAAGGAACAGGCCCATCTATGGTCATGAAGAACATAAGGCCTGACCCAACTGCTTACTCAGTATACATGTGTTATCCAAATAAATGACTGACAGAATAATGAATCAACAACTGAATAAATGACTAAAGGATCTTCACAGTACTGAAGCTTTCTCTCCCTGTTACTTAGAACATCAGTAACTAGTTTTTGTTTTTTGTTTTTTTTAAAAACTTACATGTTTTAGCATGGATTGCAGAGCCATTGGGCAGTTATGTATAGTTCAGTGGTAGTGAGCCCTAATGCCAACCTGCCTATCTTAACAACCTGCTTAGTCTTCTGAACTCAAATTTCCTACTCTGGAATAAGGGGATAAAATTAGTACTTATTTTGCAAGATTCTTGTTAGGATGAAATGAGTAAATAAGCACTAAGAGCCTTGTCTGGCATGTAGTGAGCTCACAATAAAGGTGAGCTGTCACTGACAGCCAAGGTATGCACAATTTCAAATTACTTAACTATTACTTTACTATGAAAGACATTTAGTGCATTTAGAATTACCGCTCTGAGTCTGTACTCCCTAGTCACTGTATAGACTTAGAATAGTAATTCTAAAATGAAGAGACTTTGTGGTAGAGGAGGCACATAACAAACTACTGGGAGGGACAAGTGAGATTTCAATGTTTCTCTGACTCACTCAACATCTTTATGATGCTAAGAACAGTAGTGAGTAGTAGAAACTCAATGGCAATAATGCTGGACAGGGTGCTTGCCTTTGCAAACTTACAATCCAAAGGCTGGAAACAGCAATCATGTGTACAGAAGTCAGTGGCCAGTCACCACTGTGGGATGACCTTTTGGACACAGAGAGGCACCTGGGCTAAGGGATTCAGGAAAGATTGCACTTATCTTGGGGGAGAAGTTTTGAGGGTTGGCCCAGAGAATTCCTCTGAGAACTACCTGCATCAACCACCATCTGAGCTACCTAAAAATCTAGATTTGGCTAGGCACTGGTAGCTCATGCCTGTTTCTTAGCTAATCAGGAGGCTCACTGAGGATTGTGGTCCAAAGCCATTCTAGGCAGAAAAACCTGTTGAGATTTTTAACTCCAATTAACCACCAAAAAGCCAAAAGTGGAGCTGTGGCTCTAGTGGTAGAGTGCTAGCCTTGAACAAAAAAGCTCAAAGATAGGGTTGGAGGCATGGATCAGGTCAGGTCGTAAGTGCCAGCCAACGAGGAAAGCATCAGATACCAAGTTTGAGTCCCAGTCTCAGACCAAAAAACAAACAAAAAAATAAGAAAAAAAAGAAGCTCAGAGACAGTACCCAAGCTCTGAGTTCAGGCCCCAGGACTAGCACCAAAATAAATAAATAATGTGGATTCATAGCAAGACTCAATGGCTCACTTTGGTAATCCTAGCTACTTGAGAGGCTGAGATCATAGGTAAGAATGGCAGTGGCAGACCAACCCAGGTTTCCAAGACCTCATCTCAACCAATAAATAGTTGAGTGTGATGGTGTGTACCTGTCATCTCAGCTACATGGGAAGTTAAATAAGAGGACTGTGGTCCAGGTCCAACCTAGCAAATGTGAGACCCTTTTCAAAAAATAAGGAAAGCAAAAAGAACTGAAGGTAGAGGTAAAGTGGTTGAGTGGTTGAAGAAGTAAGCACAAGGTCCTAAGTTCTAACCTTAGTACCATCAAACAAGCAAGCAAACAAAACGCTAAACCCAAACCAAACCAAACCAAAGAACTGACATGAGCCTACCATCCCCATTCCAGAAAATGCAGACCAGGCCAGGCCAGGCCTGCAACTTGTAAGTCTATTTACTCTTCTGGTACTTCTTACCAAGACTCAGCAGAGGGATGGCTGACTTCTAGCACAGGGTGGAGGGGGTAGCTAGCATGAGGTGTTTACAGCTTTGCCTACATAAAATGCAGCAAGCAAGCAAGCTCTAGTGCAGGGGTCAAGGGAAGCTTGCATTAAGTGTGTCGGCAAAACCTGCTGCTTGTGTCCAGAGAGCCAATACACACATGATCAGTAAGTCAAGAAAAGCAGAGGCCAAGGTCAGAGAGCTAGGGGTCAAGGCCTGTCAGCTGTGAGTGGTTGTCTTCTGCAGAGACTCTCCACTCATCTCAAGAGCTCTGGAATGAAGTGTGTGATTCTGGAGGTAGCATTGTATTTACAGCCAAAGCTTTACAAAGAAAGTGGTATAGGGACATAATAGATGGCTCATAGATTGGAGGAACAAGAATTTCATTATGTTTATATAATTCAGTTGGACATATCTTAAAGCCTGTGCCCACATCCCTTACTACCCAATCCTACCTCACACCTACTTCTTTATTTAAAGGAAAGAAAGATTGGTCTGGCAATATACTGGCATGTACAAACTGCTCTCACCATTTGCTCCAACTAAATCATGCACCTAGAGATTATACGCTATATTAAAGTGTAGCCCAAATTATCTTATTTCATAAATTGAGAGCAATACACAGTATTATAGAATATAGTCATGGAGATTTGTAAAATAAGGGTATTATCATTTAAATAATGAAAAATATCTTTTGTGATAAATAGAATTTATCAGTGGTGGTAGAAAGCTATTTGGATATGGGAAGGTGAGTCCCAAATATTAGCACATTATTTTAAAGTATTAATATATTTTTTAAAGGATAGATAGGAATCCTGAAAATACCAGGATTTTTTTTTTTTTGTTGGTTGTAGGGCTTGTACTTTAGGCCTGGGCACTGTCCTCAGCTCTTCCGCTCAAGGCTAATGCTCTACCACTTGAACCACAGCACCACTTCTGGATTTTTCTGTTTATGTGGTACTAAGGAATTGAACCCAGGACCCCATGCATTCAAGGCAAGCACTCTACCACTGAGCCACCTTCTCAGCCCCCAGAATGTTTTAAATTTGAAGAAAAGTATGTTTTGCATTTAAACTGCTGAACATGCAATATATAAAAGCCACTTATAATATATTATCACACATGCCTAGTCTTTTTGAAGAATGTCCTGACAGGATGCTGCTACAAATGTAGGTTCTAGAAGCTAGGGATAAAGGAGTAAAGGAATAATGGGCTGAATTTGGCTGTCAGCTACTCAGTAAAGTTATATAACTACCTCTTTTACAGTGCATGTGGGAGCCAACACACAGGGACCAGCTCCACAGAGACATAAAAGTTGAGAGCCAAGTATAATTGTCCTAGCTTGTTTATGCTTCTATAACAAAATGATCACATGCTGGGAAAATCATAAATAAAAGGAATTTATTTCTTACAGTTCAGGAGGTTATAAAGTCTATGATCAAAGCTCAGACAGGAGACGGGTACCAATGACTCACACCTGTAATCCTAAACTACTTAGGAGGCAGAGATCAGAGGATCACAATTCAAAGCCATCCTGGGCAGAAAAGTCTGTGAGACTCCTATCTCCAATGAACTACTCAGAAAAAGCCAAAAGTGGTGCCACGGCTCAGGTGGTAGAGCACTAGCCTGAGAACAAAGAGGCTTAGGGACAGTACTCAGACCCTGAGTTCAAGCCTTAGGACTGGGATTAAAAAAAAAAAAGAACTCAGGCAGATCTTTCTGGAGCTCTTGTGGCTCAATCATTCTTGAAATTCCCTACATCTTAATAATACTATACTATGAATAAGTTTCAACATGAATTTTGGAGAGCACACAAACATGTAAATCATAGCAGCAATGGAAAGAACATTATGCTTAGCACCAGAAGACCTTGGCTCAGGTCCCTGCTGGCCTGGAGTGTCCCAATTAAACCTTTGCTCCATACTTTTCCATGGGGTATAGTCTGTGTAGAAATATTTGGAAAAATACTATTCAGTTTCAATACATCTATTAACTACAAACTATTAGAAAAAGTATGGACATTTTAAAAGCAGAGATCCAAGCTCCCTTTGTGAAAGAACAGATTTTTTTTTATCTTATGAGAAATTTTTCTTACTTTCAACTTGGTAAATGTAAAGAGTAACACCATCTACTTATTTTCTTCTATTACAGGTGCGGGTAATTTGTTCTGCGTCGACTCCTATATCAAGCTTATTTTTGTATCAACATGATGACAGTGTGTTGGAGCAAAGCAGAATACTGATGGATGATTTGGGACTGAGCCAGGTAGATGATATTAACATAATCTCTTTTTATTATAAAACAGCTTAATTGTTTTGGTTTGATACAGGCTACATTTTGAAGAAAGAATTCAGATAGTTAACCATTGATTTGCTGCCTTCTTTTCACTCAAGTGTAGCAGACTTATCCTCAATATCAGTAACTTCAGAGAATTACCATTTAAGAATAGAAGGAATACTCAGTGATCACATCAGACCATCAGAATGAACTCCAGAGAGATGGACTAATGGCCCACAGTCACACTGCTGAGTAATGGTGGGCCATACCTGGAACTTTCTGGTTTCAGGCTTTCCCTGCTGTACCATGTTTTTCTGGATGTTCTTCATGATTGCTAAATCTGCAGTGCATGTGATAGAATCCAAGTGTGTGGGTTAGTTAGTCTAGACTCAAGAAGTACTCAGGAAGGCCCTTGCTGAAAAAAGAAATCCATGAATCATCTCCGAATCTTCTTTTAGCAAACACTTCAGGGATACTTGTGGGTGATAGGCTATGAAGACACAAGCTGATGTTTGCCCAGTTCTTCTGGAGCTTGGAGTCTAGATTTGCCTCAGGCCAAGAAGAATTGACTTTGTATTTACTTCTGTAAGAATATTACAGTCTATATTTCTCAAAAAGTGACCATGCAAACGTTAGTCAAGATGTAAAATACCAACACAAACTCTAAGAACGAAGACTTCAGTTCTTCTGCCCCGGCAAAAGCCCATTTGGAGGAAAGAGCAGTAACTTTTCCTGGCAGTTTGTTCTCTTTATAGTCTATCAGTTTTGATCTGTTGATTCTGTAGTCTCACTTAGGAGGATAGTATTTGAGGAAATTATATAGCAATTTTAAATCTAAATAGGTTACTCAAAGCTTTTCTTTTTGAAAAAAAATGTACTTCTATAAGTTTTCATTTGGGTGGGTTTAATTGGTGCTGTTTTGTTTTTTTGTTTGTTTTTGTAACTAGGAATCAGCAGAAGGGCTCTCGATGTTTACTGGAGAAGAGGAAATCTTTGCATTTCAGCGCACAATTTCCCGACTCACAGAAATGCAGACTGAACAGTACTGGAATGAAGGGGAGAGGAGCAAGAAGTAACTGTCAATTTCACATGAATAAAACTAGATAAATGGCTAATACAGGGAGAACTCTGTATTTTAAGACTTGAAGGAACCATTTTCTCATCATTAATTATGCACTTTGTCCTCTGGACCATTTTAATCTAATATTGCTGTCAGAGATGTAGTGGATTAGTAAGTTAAAGACTTACATTTTTATAGGTCTACTTTTTTGCCTATTTATTTGTGCTAATTTCTGCACTACAATATTATAATTATCACTCGTAAAGATTACTGTCAAACCAGACATGTTAGCTTCCCATTAAGCCACCTGAATGAACCTTGAACATGCAACCGCACAGTAAATGTAGGGTATGTGGACATTTCCAGCTTTGCTTTTATGGTTGTAGCACTTAAGAAGGCCATCTTTATAAGGGGAAGAGAACCTTGCATTTTACTTTGAAACAGAGCTTTCTGATCTTTCTATAAACTGAAGAGAATAACATTTTAGAATATGGGTTTAAATATGTGATTTCTTTAAGGAGGAGAGTATTTTTTATTTTTTAATTTTTGTTGGTTGTGGGGCTTAAACTCTGGGCTTGGGCACTGACCCTGAGCTCTTCAGCTCAAAGCAAGGGCTCCACCAATTGAGCCACAGCGCCACTTGCGGTTTTCTGGTGGTTAATTGGAGATGAGTGTCTTATGGACTTTCCTGCTTGGGCTGGCTTTGAACCGTGATCCTCAGATCTCAGCTTCCTGAGTAGCTAGGATTACAGGCATGAGCCACTAGCGCCCAGCTGGGAGAGTATTTTTTTAAAATCTTGAGATCATGCTTGGCAGGCAGGGCTGCATCTTATGTAAAACCTTGAGATCATGCTTGGCAGGCAGGGCTGGATCTTATGCGTATGCAGAGATACCTGGGTAGATCAAGGAGTATAGTGTTAATAAGTAAGGAGCAAATACCAAATCTAAACCAACAGGCAGCTCTGCAGGCAGTTCCCTGACTGTCAGCCAGTGGGAAGGCAAGTACCAGAGTATGGGAGGAAATACAGTCATAGACATGCCTGCTGCAGAGTGGACACTTGCTCATCTGAGACCAGCCAGACCCTCATGGACAGCAGACTCCTTCCCACGGTTCACCTATACTAGCTGACATTGCAAAATGCTGCTTCTTACTCTTGCCCTTGACTCTGCAAAGAGTTGGACCTACTAATAAATAGAAAACCACCTAGAAAAGCATTAAATAAAATCTTACTTGTCGGCCAGGTACTGATGGCTCCAGTTAACAAGCAAAAAGTGGAACCAGTGGAAGCAGAGCTGTGGTGCAAGTGGTAGAGCACTAGTCTTAAGCAAGAAAGCTCAGTGACAGTGTCCAGGCTCTGATTTCAAGCCCCAGAACTGGCATACGCATGTGTGTGTGTGCGCGCACACACACACACAAATTTGATTTGCCAATCAAACTTGTATCTTGATTGATTTAAATAACACTTGGTGTCACTATTATCACTAAGAGGGGATTTGGGGTGAGGCTGTTAAGAGAGTCTTAAATCCCTCTTCAGAAAAGACAAAGAAAAAATATAAAGTCTAAAAAGTGCTGTAAAGATCAAGGATTTGGGGAAATAGGCAGAGATGAGTTGGTTCAACAATGATTGTAATTGTCAGCATAGGTAAGCTCTTTGAATCCTATTTGATCCTTATTCCTGTAGTCTATTTTTATTTAATTTTTGCCAATCCTGGGGCTTGAACTCAAGGCCTGGGCTCTGTCCCTGAGCCTCTCTGTGCTCAAGTCTAGTGCTTTACCACTTCAGCCACAATGTCACTTCCGTCATTTTCTGAGTAGTTTATTGGAGATCAGAGTCTCACACACTTTCCTGTTTGGGCTGGCTTTGAACTGTGATCCTCAGATCTCAGCCTCCTAAACAGCTAGGATTACAGGCGTGAGACAATGGTGCCCACATAGTCTATTTTAGATATTAACCTGAAATAGTCAAGCAGGTACATGGGTGGGTATGCAACCATAGAGAAAACTTTAGAGTGTCTGAAAGTCAAATGTGATTCCAAAATATTTTATTGAAGTAAAACAATTCCAAGAGATTAAGTAAAAGGGGAAAATTGGGAAATAGCACTATATGCTTGACTTAACACTAGGTATTTACATTAGGCCAGTTTAAAAAGTAGTGCTAGAAATTGAGTATAACATCCTGAGGTAAGGAACTGAAGCTTCAAAAGTGAAGTTGTAAGGCTGGGAATGTGTCTTAGTGGTAGAGTGCTTGCTTAGCATGCATGAGGCCCTTGGTTGATTCCTCAGTACCACATAGACAGAGAAAGCCAGAAGTGGTGCTGTGGCTCAAGTGATAGAGTGCTAGCCTTGAGGAAAAGAAGCTTAGGGACAGTGCCCAGGCCTGGACTTCAAGCTCCAGGACTGGCAATAAAATAAAGGGAAATTGCTTACACTGTTGTAAATACACCATTTATTTGACTAAATAAATGTAACTGTTTACCTTTATTATTTAAATCTTAATCTCCCTTCTCCTGCAGTACTGGCATGTGAGGCAAGTACTGTACAACTTAGTCAAACCTCTAGCCCTAAATTTCACTTTTCCTTTTGACATTCTTTTAATAACTATTCTTGATATAAAAAGATGGTATGGACAGATATATGGATAGAGTGACTAGTAGAAATGGAAACTGTGTATTCTCTGAATATGTTGGTGTATGTAGAAGAGTGCTCCACTCAGGTGCTCTTGAAAAAGTTCATTTGAGTTATTTGGGTTAATTTTTTTTTTTTTTTTGGTCAGTCATGGGCCTGAACTCTGGGCCTGGCACTGTCCCTCAGCTCTTCAGCTCAAGGCTAGTGCTCTACCATTTGAGCTACAGTGCCACTTCTGGCTTTTTCTGCTCATATGGTACTGAGGAATTGAACCCAGGGCCTCATGCATGCATGCAAGGCAAGCACTCTACCACTGAGCCACTTTCCCAGCCCTGGACTAATTTTTTTTAACAGAAGTAATGATGAAGCATTAAGCCCTGACTCAATGCACAGAAGCCTATGTAATTTTCAGTGTAGCTATCCTATATCACCTTGGTGATAAACACCTTAAACAACTTTTAAACTATTATGTCTGTAGATGAAGCTATAATGCAAGCTTTACCTACCTAACTGGAAGATGTACTCCTCCTATTCTTCCCCTCCAGCTCCCTGGGGCTGGAGGGCTGAGCCATAGTAGAAAAGGCTTTCTGAGCTTGGAGGAAAGACTGTATAGAGAACAGGGCAAGAAGGTAAGGCTGGCTTGATCTCGTTATCTGCAAGGAAGAGGAAGGAGTTTCATGGTGGCTGGAAATTATAAATCTTCATTTATCTTGATCTCCAAAGATTGGTTCACAAAACAACATGCAAGAAAAAAATCTTAATGATTAACTATTACTAGAAAACAATATGGTAGTTCTAGTAAAAGGAGTGTTGAGTATGCTTTATCTGAAGTGCTTTGGATCTGAAGTGCTTTGAATTTCTAACATTATCAGACTTTGGAATGTTTATATATTTGTAATGAGATATCTTGGGGATAGAGCCCCAGTCTGAACACAAAAATGCATTTATTTTATGTAAAGCTCATACATAATTGTCTGCAATATTTGTAGTGTGCCTGTGTTTTGACTGTGACCAGAAATGCAAGGTGGCCATGGAATTTTCCATTTGGAGTGTCATGTCTGTGTTGAAAAGGGTTCAGAATTTGATGTCAGATTTTCTAAATAGGGATATTCAACTTGTAATACAAAATGAGACATGAAAACAACCCGTAGGTCAGAAAGCACATTTCTATGTGTCTTCTGAGTTGTGTCCCTATTAAGTTCTCAGCAATCCAGTTTTTGTCCCCAAGGTTACATAAATCTCTTAGAGCACATGTATTTACTGGGAATGCTTTACATCCATGCTAAGAAATGGAGGTTGGAGCCAAGTACTGCTATGGAAGAAGAGCCTATCTTCTTAGAAACCCAGACCAGGGAAGCCAGCAGAGTCCGGAATACCCTCTAAAATGATTCCTACTTTCTGCCAGGCACTGGTGGCTCACACCTGTAATCCTAGCTACTCAGGAGGCTCAGATCTGAGCATTATGGTTCAAAGCCAGCCTGGGCAGGAAAGTCCGTGAGACTATTATCTCCAATAAACTACCAGAAAACCGGAAGTGGTGCTGTAGCTCATGTTGAGCTGAAGAGCTGAGGGACAGCAATCAGGCTCAGAGTTCACGCCCCACGACCAAGAAAAAAATAAAAATAAAAAGCAAAAACAAACAAAAAACATTATTAAAATGATTGCTACTTTCCAGACTTAACAGCAGGCAAGTAAGGGGGGAAAAGGAAACTTTTCCTTTAAAAAAATAAAAGGGCTAGAGGCATGGCTCAAGTGGTAGCGCTTGTATAGATAGTGTGAGGCCCTACCTTCAATCCCAAGTGCCAAAAAGAAAAAAGAATAAAAACCTGATTGCTGTCATTACTTTTGTATTTAGTTAGATAGTATTAATTTATTTGCTGATAACAGTAGTCATGAGGCAACATGGTAGATTTAAACAATTTTAACTTATTTCTGAGGCCAAAAAAACCTGTTGTATTGTTTTATTCACAGAAACGCATCTGCAATGAAATTTCATAGTTTAATTATAAGGCAATACTTTAATCTTTCTGAAGTGTATTTCTTGTACTTACAAGTGTGCAAATAATGGAAGGTTAAAATTACTTGAACGTTTTGTAAATTAAAATTTTTCTTGCAAATGGATGTGCACATAAGCACTTATTTAAGAAATACATGCTTACAATGTGCTTGGCATGGTTCTAAGTACTTAATAAATTCTTTTGATCCTTCTCTGAAATGAGTACTGTTATGGCCATTTTATAGATAGGGAAACTAAGGCACAGACAAGGGCTAAAAAGAATACTGAATTGCTGATATACACATTACAGTCAATAAAATGATCAGGGGCTGGGAATGTGACTTACTGGTAGAGTGCTTGCCTAGCATGTATGAAGCCCTGGGTTTGATTCCTCAGTACCACATAAATAGAAAAAGACAGAAGTGGCGCTTTGGCTCAAGTGGTAGAGAATTAGCCTTGAGCAAAAGAAGCTCAGGTACAGTGCTCAGGCCTGGTGTTGTGGCTCAAGTGGTAGAGTGCTAGCTTTGAGCAAAGGAAGCTCAGGAATAGTACCCAGGCCCTGAGTTCAAGCCCCAGGACTGTCCAAAAAATAAAACTAAAATAAAATGATCCAAACACTATTTTTTTACACTTTACATTTCATTGCCTTTGTTCTGAACACAACATGCACACATCCATCTAACTTGATCCTACTGATGCTGCACCTTCATCTGAGATTAAAAACAAATGAACCAACACTTCCCAAGGATTGGAGTGGCCTGCATCTCTGACACTAGGGTTTTTGATCCATTATGAGAATCTGTGTAGCAACAGGTCTGTAAGTAATATTTTTAAGTTATCTTGAGCCACTGATCTTTTTTGTATTTTATTTTTTTAATTTTTTTGTATATTTTTTGTAA